TCCTAAAGGATCAGGTACCTTTCTGTTGATTTTTAGTCCAGTCCCAGGTTTGATCTCTGAGCTTTCCAAGGCTTTTCTTTGGGCCCAAACCACAGTTCTTTGTTGCTAAAACTTGACAGTTCTTGTGTGGTGGACTGGTATAGTAGTGGGGAAAAATCTCTTTGATTTGTGGTGCCCATTTGGAGAAACTGAGCGTTCTGAGTGTGGAGTATAGTTACTGCAGAAGAGTCTATTTGTAGAAGTCAGAACTTGTGGAAAGCTTTCACACTCAAACCCAAGCTGGGTTTGTGAAGTCATATGTACAGAGGACTCATATCCTCTGATGGTGGTATAGCATCTTCTTATTGTCATGAATCTGATCTTTAATCAAGAAATAGATGTGTTTGTTAGTATTTCTAACTGGTTGTCTGCAGAACATGGATGTTTAGGTGACTCTTAAACAGCTGATTCTTCTAGTTTTTCTCAGGACTTGGAATAGCCTGAGGATAAGATGGGTCCCCTGGGTTCCATTTAGGGACATTTCAGTGTTCTACCTGAGAGCTGGTCTGAGTGTTCTCCCTGAAATTCCATTCTTATCTCACAGAGTTGTTTTGGAACATTGTTGTTTACTCTCTACTACCATACTTCATTGCAGTACAGAGTACACAGAAGACTAATTGCAAAGAAGTCCCTCAGGATCTTGCACCAGAGACTATTCTGGTAGAGGTCACTGAATCTAAGGAAGGATTTTCAGATCTTCCCTTTGCTTACAAAACCTGGGATGCAGACAGCATTGTACAGCCAAACCACAGCAACATTAAAACTCACAGTCTGTATGAATGTGCCATTGAAATCTCTTCTTCTTTAATGTGAGAAGCACTTAATAGGAAAATTTTTATTAGGTGAAAGTACAGGATACTCTACTATTACTAGTCTAGGGAAAATCATTAAGTCTTCCTAAAGGACTTGTATCTCTTATCATCTTGAGTTACTTAAGCTGAAGGAGCAAAGATGTAAAGCAGACCTTGATTCTGTCAGTCAGACACACAAAGGTCTCATTCAGCCTCTCTTCTGTTCATGTTCTGTTAAAGAGAATCTGGCAACAAGACTTCATCCAGTCAGGGCTTCTTACTGCAGTGGGATGTCACCTTGTCCATAGGCCCTTGGTAAAGGTGACCTTTTGAATCCTTGAAGTAAATCTTTGTCACTGTGTCTTTCCATGCATCTTCCCAATTTCCTCCTGTTGTTACTTTTCTGAACTTTTGTGGGGTCTAGATCCTATGATTCTTCTGGTTTGATATTTTTTTTTTTTAGTGTGGTTTTTTCTTTTTTTTTTTTTTTTTTTTCTTAAATCCATCTCATGTGGATGCACATAGACTTTCTGATGTCATAACTGACAGATGTTGTCTTTCCTTCCTGGTCTTCTCATACCCAGGACTGGAGACCCTGGTCACTGAGAGACCAGACCGCTGAGTAGATGCTGTAACCTCAGCCTTACTGATCTCTACATAACAAGTAACTGGAAGCTGGTAGGGGTTGGCCATCATAGAGCATGCTCTTCAGAAATCAGACTGTGTTTCACCACAACTTAGACATTACTCTGTACGTGCTCAAACACCTGTCTTCAAGACCCAAGAGAAGAATTTTTTCGAGAGCTCTATGCTTTGTGCCAATTGTTTGATTATTTTTATATGGCACTGGAAATCTACTTTGTGTGAATGATGATTTTATGATTTCATTTTTACTTGTTCAAAGTTAAACTGGGTACATGAGCTGCCAAAGGGTTTGCTTGCTGGTAGGTAGTGTTTGGATAAGGAATACATAAGTCAGCTTGTCTTCTGCTCTCTTTCTCTCCTCTCCTTGTGGTTCAGGACCTTTTTCATTGCACAGTGAGATTCACGTGCTGGGAAGAGATGGAGCAGAAGCCTTTTTACATACTATCTGAATAAAAGAATTCCCCAGTCTTGAGTGTCTGTGGAAAGTCATCTGAAATAAATTATGAGCAGGTGGACTGAAATAGAAAACTTGGACCCTCAAAAATTCAGCTTTAGATGAGCTTTATTTGATCTACTGAACTTTTTCACATATCTAGCATTACAGTAGGAATCTGTTTTCCTGCAGATGTTAAAATATTTGGCCATGATGTGATATGCTATTTTCCTATTCTTCCTAACCCATAGCTCATAAATCTGTGACACAGTTCACACACAGTTTGTAAACCATTTATTATGTCCATGTTGTGTTCAGTCAAATGTCTTCAAGCAGTAAAATATTGCCCCATTCCCCTGTTCTTCAAATGCTCCCCACCCTCAAACATGTGCATTATTCTCTGTGCACTATAATATGGAAAAGCAGTATTGGGGAAGAAAATGAATAAATCATGGAGTCCTTAAATTTTCCACTTTAAACTGAGATAAATAGATCATCTTATGATGTTGTTGTTTTTTTTGTTTTTTTTTTTCCAAAAATGACCATGAGTAACACTGTTAAAAATACTTTTGGCAGTTATCTTCTGTATGCTTTTTTTAATAGGTTCTTTAAAAAAAATTACAAAATGACTTTGTTTACAGATAGCAGATCAGATGTTCTTTCATAGTGATTATCGGCCCCTTATCCGTGATGCCAACAACTTTGTCCTGGATGAACAGACACAGCAGGCTCCACACCTTATGCCTCCCCCATTTTTGGTTGATGTGGATGGCAACCCTCATCCTGCAAGGTATCAAAGACTAGTTCCTGGTCGTGAGAACTGCAGGGAGGAACAGCTTATTCCTCAGATGGGAGTGACATCTTCAGGTATGGAACATTTCACTTGACTACACAGTAGCATGTCTAGTTACCTTCAGGTGTTCCACACTTTCCCTTTCACTTCGTCCTGCTTTCTTCATTTCTGAGCATAGTAGTTCACATAGTGTGGAAGACTTACAGGGCCCCTGGCACTGATTGCTTGTGAAGGTTTCACTTGGAGCATTGTCATCGATCGAGTCAGTGCTAGTTGATGTTACAATGCCAGTTAGCTTGGAGCTCGTTTCATTATTGGAACAGTGTACGATGCTGCATGAGCTTTCAGTTGATCTCCTTGGGGTAAGATTTCCTACCTCAGAAAACTGAGGAAGTAGACTGATCTTCCACACATCGGTTGGAACAAGTAACACCCACAAAAAGAGGAAGATGAGAGGACACCTGAAACATGCAGAATTCTCCTTTTCTGTAACTGAGGCAGACATTCAATGTAAGCCTTGGTTTGGTTAGAGAACTCTGAAGACTTGATGGGCATGTAAAAATCTAGGAGGTTCCTTGAAAGTTGTGTTCTCCATGTACACAACATGGGAAGAACGTGCATATTTTGGGACAGTGACAGGCTGCTGGAAACTAGCTAAGTGTGGTCTGCATGGGTGAAGATGTAAAAATGATGCCTACTTATTAAGTGGCACTAGTTTGATAGTAATATGAATAAGCAAGTGATGACTGGTGCAAGTAGCTTTAAATGTGTTCACAATAAGTATTGTTAAGTGTTTGGATATTCTTGAAAATATGGGAGAACCAACTGTGCCTGTAAATAATGGCTTATCTGCACACCATACTTAAGCACGTGGCGTGTCAGACTTCCCAGGAAGGCTGGCTGACCATGTTGTTACGAAGAGGTCTCTTCATCCTCGTTTGTAAACCTGAGGATTATAAGCCACTGAATACCTAAGTAATCATTTTTGAGGAGCATTTCCGTATTTCCTCCGAAATTATCGGAAGAAATGCTACCTGAGAGAAAAAAATCCTTTCTAGTGAATGTATGCCATGTTTTATCTCTGACTTTTTAGCTAGTGGTCTTGAAGCTAAGTTCAATTTCCAAGGAAAGATACAGTTTTACTTTGTTGTTACAGTATGGATCCAAGACATTTTGAAATTCTCCAAAGCTGAAAATTACCTGGGCACGTTCTCCAATATAATATCTTGAAACACATCAGATTCTACACACAGACACAACAATATTAAACTTAATGGTGTGGCTGCATGAGACACAAATGCCTATGGGAAGATGATGTCCATAGTGTTTTGTTCAGTAGCAGGGAGCCATCAACCAGCCTGACAAAAATCCAGAGATTTTGGAGAGACAAAAGATTTTTTTTTTTTACCTCTTTACAGTTTAGCAATAATATACGCAGTCTTACGCAGAGATAAAATGTGTTCATGTATTTTGTATGTTCCCTTCCACTAAGGAAGCTCCGTTTCTTTCTGAAACTTTACTGTGAGATTTGTTGGATCTCGCTCAGAGCAGTGACAATTTATTTCTTGTCAAAGTTTTCTGTAGAGGCTTACAAGAGTAGGGAGAAATGACATAATCATGCTTGATTTACTGCTTAGGCGTACATGAAGCTCCTAACTTCTTTAAGCCAGATGTTTTGAAAAAATCAAATCTATACCACTGTCCTTATTTCATTTTTTGAAAAACCCTTGTTGTTAATTTCAAAGGCAAAATCTCACAAGCTGCATACATAAAAAGCATTCTTTTTGTTTCAGTAGAAGTTTCCCAATTTAAGATCATTCTTTGGTTATTAATACAATTTCCCATTGTTCAGTGTAGACAGTCTGCTTGTGAGATGACCAAATAACACTGTTTCACTACGTGAGTCAGAAATACATCCAGCTGTGGTTTTACCAGAGCTCATCCCATGATTTCAAGCTTCTGCTGCCTTAGGGAAGTTGACTTCAGCTACAATAACCTTGAAACTCTGAGAGCCCTGTCTTAAATTACTTCTGTTCTTTCTGCATACAATCATCTGCTAAGAGGTGGCCGCTTCTGTCTGGCCATGTGATCAAAGCTCTTCATTTCTTAGCACTATTACTGTACAGTCTTGCCTTTGATTTTGCAAAGTGTAGTTGACACTACAGTATCTCTTTAAAATCATGCTGGAAAAATAATTTCTGTAATTCGTTTCTTTGAGCGTGTCATCCCTCATTACAAGGTTCTGCAGATTTTGCTTCTCTTGACCAGAGCTTCCTACTACTCCGCTCCACCATCTAACTATTCTGGGTGGAGGTATCTGACTTCCTTTTCAAACCAGTGCTGTAACCTTTGCCTTTTTATGTATGCCTCTCTAATATTTGTGACCATTCTGAGTATGAAAAGAGGTTTTGTGTTGTTTATGCTTAAGTGCTTTGTCTCTTGCTAGCTGCACAGAAACCTTGTGATCACTTCCATAAGAACTGTTCCCTGTCTTTTATTGCAGAGACTTAACCAGAAGGAGATTTCTTGGCTGTTTAACATACCAAAGAAAATTAGCGTTACTTAACCTGTGTCATCTTTGTTTGTGGAGCTCAATCAAGCATTTTTGCTGCTTGGTTTTCTCCAGTATAGATCATTCTTTCTCTAATTCAGTTAGACCTTCTTGATGTAGTTCTTTTCCTTGAAGCTTATACGAAACAGTTTTATAATGCATTTGTGGCAGGCCAAGTATGCATTTGAACAATTCACATTGACTCTGCTGACAAACAGCAGTTCTGTTAAGCTTCTGTAACTTGCTGGCACTTGATCAAATGTGAAGTTTTATTAGGAGTGGCACATGATCGTCTTGAGCCTGCTCCAGAAAACATAAAGCTCTCAATATATTTAAAAAATGGTTCTGTTCAAAAAATGGCTGTTACAGAAGTAAGCATGAGCCCATAATTACACATCCGATGATATAAAGTACTTGCGAGTTTCAAAGCTAAAATTTGGATGAGCTGTTTGTAACATTTGGTTCTTCAAATCCACATTTGTGTGTTTTTTCTCTTGTATTATTTTATTTTACAGGATTGAATCAAGTTCTTAGTCAACAAGCAAATCAAGAAGTTAGTCCCTTGGATAGCATGATTCAAAGACTTCAGCAGTAGCAGGACCAGAGGCGCTCTGGGGAGGCAGGAACCAGTAGTACCAGCCGGATAAGCAGAGGTAGATTACTGAGAAATAGATGTTGGTGGCTTTTCTTTTGGAAAACATAAATCATATCGTTGTGCATGATTTGTGAGTTTTGCTGAACTACTAGAAGGCAGGTACAGAGCAATAGAAAATAATACAGCATTCTCATCTTTTTTTACCTTTCTGCAAAATATCGGGATTTTTAACAGTACAAATTTGTCTTTGTTAAGTTATTGTCTCCTCACTGGAGGAACTTGCAGCAACTGTGTTCCCTTAGAACTAACTACCCTGCGTTTAATCAGGAATTGACCATCTACTTGACTGAAATCTGAGTTGTCTCAAATAAGGAAATAGGAGGGAGAAAGAAGGACAGGTCTACTTGTTTCTCAGTACATCTGTTCCATGTTTCAGTGTCTTGCACGAGATTACACAGTAATTTTCAACACTTAAAAAGTCACAGTTGGCAATCCACCTGAGTAAGCAAGGCTAGGTTGTGTGTGAGATGTGGAAAAATGTTCAAATTGTGCTACCATGGTGTAGTGTGGTGTCTGAAGGCTCTTGCATGTGTGTGTGGCTTTGACTTTTTGGTTGGTTTGGGGTTTTTCAGGGTGGGGTTTTTTGTTTGGGTTTATGGTTTGGGGTTTTGGTGGTGGTGGGGTTTTTTTGTTTTGTTTTTACAAAGTCTTTTCACCATTTCAGTTTCTTGTCGGTAAATTTCACAGGGTGGATTCTTAATAATTTCCAATGTTGTGGCTTCATGTTTTTGAAGGTAGAAGGCTGTTTAAGGAATACACTGATTCAGTCAGAGAGCTCACTGTTTTATAATATAGATCTTGAGTGCAGTAGAAATAGCGTCGTGGAAAAGTTTTTGAAACTATTTTTAAAGAAAAGCAAACCAATGAAATGTTTGCTTCATTTTGGATTGTTGATACAACTTCTTTTCTATATGAAAACTTAAGCACTGTACTGCAGTCCAGTAGCTGTTCAAGTGTGTCTTGGGGTGACTACACAAACTTCTGAAATAGTTATATGTAGGTAATACCTGATTTCTTTTGAACTAACACATTAAGTAAAATTTTTTTTTTTCTTTTCAGAGAAGTTTTCAAGTTTGGTTTTTTTTTTAAATGCATCCCCTGTAGTTTTATTTGATCTGAAATTTTACTTTTTGACTTTTTAGGGTCTGTAAGTTCTACCTCAGAAGTACATTCACCACCAAATATCGGCCTGAGGCGCAGCGGGCAGATCGAAGGCGTGCGCCAGATGCACAGCAACGCCCCGAGGAGTGAGATAGCCACCGAGCGAGACCTGGTGGCTTGGAGTCGAAGGGTTGTGGTGCCCGAGCTCTCTTCTGGTGTGGCCAGGTAAACAGAGGCCAAACTTGCTGTGATTTATAGTTTGGTGAACCTAATTAAGTTAAATAGTTTTGGAAGTCACGTTGTCATAGAGTTATTTGCGTGGGGTTTATCTATTCTGTGGTCTCGTATTTCTTGTAAAATCAGTTTCTTTGAAATATTATTAATAAAAATTGACCATTTAACAAATGACAGAGTGATTTAACTTGTTTGTGAAATGGGATCTAGCTGCGTCCATGTTTTCTGACTTGAAGCATAAGATTACAGGGTGTTCTAACTTCATTTATTCCTGCCCCTATATGGCATTTTTCAGCTGGGACACTGACCTAATCCATTAGGTGCTTGAGGTGAATTTTGATTTCCAAACTAGAACTTTATTTCATTCAGTAATTAACTCTTGTGACGAATGCTTCTGTCAGGAAGTTAAAAAAAATGATGTACTAGCCTCAACCAAACATAAACTACTCTAGCTTTTTTTGAAAAAAGACTAAAATCTTAATTCATTCAGAAAGGGTAATTTTGAAGCCATATTCTAACTGTAAAGAGAACTACTGTTCAAAGAATGTGACAAATATTGAACATCTATTCCATGATTTGGATTTAACCTCTCAGTTGTTAACTTTAAAGCAAAATACTACATCTCAATTTTTCTTTTTCAGTCGGCAGGAAGAATGGAGAACAGCAAAGGGAGAAGAAGAAGTGAGGGTGTATCGGTCGGAAGAGAAAAGAAAACACGTAACGAGTCACATTCAAAGAGAAAACAAAATTCCTACTTTCCCTAAGGTAACTACTCACTCGTACCTTCTTGCAGTAAGAAGCATAAATTTTTAACTCCATGTGTTAGGCCTCATAAATTTACATTCCTTGTCTCAGTTTTAAATTTAAAAGCCAGGGGTACCAGAATTTGTTTTCCACCCCAGAGTGAGGAACTCTGATGTCTCTACTGATGTTGGCTATGTTCTGAATAAACAGCAGGGATAGCTCTGAGAACCTCCTAAGTGAGAAGCCCTGCAAACTTGGTGCTAGGGACATAATTTGCTGTAGGTAGTCTGTCACTATTAATCAATACAACCTGCTACTGTTCTCTGCTGTTTTACATACTGTTCTGTGGAAAGGTTTGATTAAAACTCAAGTCACAGTTCTTAACTTCAACATATTTAAATCCATCTGCAAATACAGAACTGGGTATTTTCTCTCATGGTATCCTAATAATCGTACTGTGGTTTTGTATGGGATATTTCTAAGTCATGCTTCTTGCTAAAGCTGAAGTACATTTTTTTTGAAAAGAGGGAAATGGGATAGGTGAAATAGAAGGGAATGGGTTGTGTTAAAAATGAAATTGTCATAATTGGCTTGATGTTTTCATATCACTTGCAAAGAAAAAAATTCAAGCCTTTATGCTGGCAAGAAAATGTGATGTGTGTATATTTATATTTACAAAAATAGTTTTATGTCTTGTTTGTTAAAAATTAGTTTTATCTGTGCATCTCACATGTCTATTTGTGCTTTTCTAGCTAAGTACCCAGCTGTATTTTGTAATAAGGGAAGTAAATGTTAAGCAACTGTAAGAGAGAATCCATGCTTTGGGTTTTGTGGTACACATGTTCTAGATGAGACTGTTTCACCCTTAATCAAAAGCTTAGTATCATAGACTCACAGAATCGTTCTGGTTGGAAGAGACCTTCAATATCATCATGTCCAGCTGTTAACCCTGCTCTGCCAGGGCATCTCTAAACCATGTCCCTGAGCACCACATCTGCATGTCTTTGAAATATCTTCAGGGATGATGACTCCACTATTTACCTGGGCGGCCTGTTCCAGGTCTCTAGAACCCTTTCTGTGAAGAAATTTGTCCTAATAACTGATCTAAACTTTCCCTGGCACAACTTGAGGCTCTTTCCTCTTGCGCTACTACTTGTTACTTTGGAGAAGAGACCAGCACTCACTTCACTACAGCCTCCTTTCAGGTAGTTGTAGAGGGTGATAAGGTCTCCTCTGAGCATCCTTTCCTCCAGGTGAAACAACCCCAGTTCCCTGAACTGCTCCTCATGTTCTCTAGACCCCTCACCAGCTTGTTGTCTTTCTTTGGACCCACTCCAGCACTTCAGTGTCCTTGTAGTGAGTGGCCCAAAACTGAATACAGGACTCAAGCTGCAGCTTCAGTACAGGCTGTAAAAGAACATAAGTTCAAGTAAAGTACAGGCCTTCAAGAACACCTGCAAATTGTCCACAAGAAGCTCAAAATCACTTACAGGGCTCACGGTGTGAAAATGAAGAAACAAAATATTATGAACAAGTATACAAAAGTCTGTGCAGCTCTTAACTTTATCAGAGTACCATGCTTAATGCTTCTGCTGTTCTTTATTCACTTTCTTGAAAAGGAAGGGACCGCGTTTGAAAACAGTCTGAAAATATGTACATTTCAGATGCTTAGTAGTGCTTCTGTATTTTTTTTTTAATGATGAATTAATTTTATATGCAGTGGAAAGCATAAATTTCAGATGGGTTAGTTTCTACTTGATACTAAATTTGAGTGTTCAGTTTGGCTTCTTTTTGTACTCAGCCAAAGTAAAGCTTTAAAAACAAGTGATGTGAACAGTCCCTCACCTCCAAACAGTCATGTAATCATTTTCAGTTTCTTCATTAAATTTCTTAAATTTTCTTCAAATTCTTTCATGTATTAAAATTCTGTGCATTACTATCTTAAGCAATAGTACCAATATGCTGATTTCAGTGCTGCAGTCACCAGCATTAGGTGTATTTGCCCAAGATAAAGTGAGCAAATATTTTTTTTTTTCAGTATAACTCCAGGTTTTGGACATAGAGTGAGGAAGCTCTCTGCCACTTACAGGTTTGGAGTTGGCCATGACAGGGTTCAGTAATGAAATGCCAGGACATCAGGAATCTTTAGCTCATATTTTTCTCTTGGGAATAATAAAAAATGGGCCTCACAAATTCAGAGTATGAGAAAGTTATTTCTTATCTTGAGGGGATGTATTTTGGTGCTGAATTATAGACTTTCTTTTAGTTTAATTAAATGATTGCACTTCTCAAGAATATCTTTTTTTTTTTTCCACCAGCTACAGCCTAGTGAAATGATCCTTCCTGATAATGTGAATTCCTACCAATTTACCCTTAAATTTTTAATTGGTTACAGTTTTCCTAAAATACCATTAGGACATAAAGATAGCAGAGTAGGCTAGTTAGTCCAGCAATTTGATTTCAGCAATTGCTTTTATTACATCTTTGAAAAAAAAGAAACTTGGTATGGATGTTTCTGAAATCCTTTTTTCAGAGAACAATTTTTTTAGGCTCTAAACTTTAAAGGTAGCACTGAATCTTTTTGAGCCCCATACTTTCATTTTGCATATCTATGTCCTTCAGAGCAGAAGCTCATTCAGGAAAATCTTTCTTCAGTTTCATCAATTTACCCAGAGAAGAGTGTGTCCTTCATTTACCTTGGTGCCTGCAGCATCTGTGAAGTGGATTCGGATGCCCAGAATTTGAGGGAGACGTAGCTTGGTAAATCCTTCAGTCACTTTGCACCTTCATCCTGAGGAAATACAGTGAAAAGCAGACCGTTGTGGTCGCTGCACTTGAGTGTGCCAGTACATTTTCCATATAGAAGCTACTATTTAATGCAGTAACACTTTCAGAATTTTAAATAAATCTTTCTGAAACCCTACAAGATACTTTATTTATGGCACCTTGGGACAAAACCCTCATGTTCTTCCGTAGTTTATTCTTCATTAAGTGTCTCTCTTCTTGGATGATTTGGGTTGTTGAGAAGTACATAATTCAAATCCCTTGAGATAAGATTCGGAGGGATGCAGAAATTAGTAGGTATCAAATGGGCTTTAAATAAGCATATGTGCAAGAAGACAAAGGTACTTAATCTCAAGTGATTTGAGTCTCCCAGTTAAACTGCTCAGATTTTAGCTATTTTTGCTGTTGCTTATAGCTAGAATGAGCAACATTTTTTCTCAGTAGTGTCTGAACAATAAGAATTTTCATGTTATCCACTTCTGTAGTATCCATAATAAAAATCAAATAAACACCTGGGAAGAGAAGCAAGACACTTCAGAAACTGTTGTCATATTTTTTGTTTGTTTGTTGTGGTTTTTGGTTTTGTCTGTTTGTTTTTAATAGAAATTAGTAGCTCAATTATAGCAACTCTTCTGTTGCTGTTCTTTAGAAGTGACTGTGTGGCTTTAAATGCAAGCTGTGCTGTGTTAAGTTGAAGACAGAACTAGAAAGTACTGTATAAATCTTTCCCATTCTTGAGTGCATGCAGTAGGTTTTGATCCTGATACCTTGTAACTTCTATTACAGTAGTGCTGGGAGAAAAGTCGTTTTAACACCAGGGACATTACAGTGGCTGTAAATAGTAGCACAGAATTATAGCTCAGTCTTTAACAATATCTGCAATTTAGACTGAGGTCACATGAGCATTCTGACACTTAGTTGGAAAATGCACATTTCTTTGACACAGGTCATACTGAGAAGTGTTTGCATGGGATTGCTTGAGGAACTGATGGATTTGTGTGGGAGAACCCAAAAGCTTAGGTGTTTTGACCTGAATAGTATTTAGTATCACTGATCTATGTGTAGAATGAGGAACTCAGTTTGACTTTCAAAGTTATTGGTGAAGAATGGGGTTTTCTTCCAATTATTATTAAACAAAAACACTCAAAAAAACCAAACCACCTGAATGACAGAGGACAGAATGTGGCACTGGAATGTTTGCATTTTCAAAGTGGAACTCTATTTCAAATTACTATCTTTTCAGTAGCATGCCAAAGATGACAAGTGAGATAAATTACATGCTTAGGTAAATGTTCCCAGTCCAAGTAATTAGACTATTTTTTAAACTACTGGGATTACAGAGCATTTTAATAAATATTAGAGTGTAAAATTTCTGTAGTAGAGGGTTGATGTGATGTTTGTCTTTAAAAAAAAAAAATACATAAATGGAAATAGTTTGAATTACCATTCAATGTCAATTGTAAGGAGAAATTCAAAGAACTAAGATTGGCGATTGTTACAGATGAACAAAAGTAAGCCTAGGTCTCCATTGTGGCAGAGACAATGTACAGACTATATTGTAACTTAACAGAGAACAGGGAGGAGAAACATGTGCATTGTTTTGCTGAAGAGAGCTGAATTGTGTTCCTCAAAAGCAATTTTTCCACTTATGTTATTTAAACACTCCTTGCAGGTAAATTAGCAAATTGTTAAGCGGAAGATAATCTAAAACCTGAGAGGCTAACACTTAGTGCTTAGTGTCCATTATTTTCACTGCTTTTGGAACAGTTCTCACTAATTTTTTACTGTTACCACATCACATATGTTTAAGAACTTCAGTAACTACAAGCACTGGTCCAGATGGAGGAGGGTATGGAAGGATGCTCTTTAACCAAAGAGAAAATAACAGGGCAAGAGGCACTGGGCACAAACTGCTGAAACAAAGGAGGTTTTGCCCAAGTGTAAAGAAGCACTTCACTGTGAGGGTTACTGAATCACTGGCACAGGCTGCTCAGAGAAGCTGTGGAGTCTCCCAACTGTGGAGATACTGAGAAGTTGTTTGGACATAGTTCTGGGCAACTGACTTCAGATGGCCCTGCTTGAGCAGGGGGACTGGACATGATGACCTCCTGAGATATGTTCAAAACTGAACCATTCTGTGAAATAAAAACTGCTTTATACACCAACAACTTCAGGGATTTTTTTGTGTTTATCATCTGGGGAGAACCCATGATCAGTGAAGAATACTAAACTTGGACAAAAGTATCTATTAATGACCTTGGTAATGCAAAAGTATCCCTCAAGAAAAATAAGAACTGAAATTCAATAAGGACAAATTTAAGTTCAGACATAGCTATCGGGTTGACAAATTTAAATAGTGTATCTAAGCAAGAGTAAAAGCAATTATGTAGGCTACTTGACAAAATTATTTTTCAGCATAACATTTCAAATGTAATGTGAAAATTCTGTGCCGTCAAAGCCCCAAAAGTTTCCTTTCTTTGTCTTAAAGAAGCTGTGGACATCTATTTAATGTAGAAGTTCTGATACTGGATATAAGCTGTGCCCTGCCCCTGTTTAACTTTCTAATTGAGGGTAATTCCTGTTGTCTTAAGGAAGGAGGAACAATTTTCAGGTAGAGAAAATATAATGCTGGTGAAGAAAGAATGAAATTGCTACAGCCAAAGCGTTCCAAAATTGCTGCAGCCCTGTATGAAAGCTCAGCAGAGCTGTGCTTCCTGGTGGAGTCAGGGCTGTAAGGTCAGGAGAAGCTCAGTGGCATGAGTTGTCAGGGAACTGCTGAGTTTCCACGCCATCTTTCACAGTGGTGTTACGAAGACCCTCAGCAATGTCCAGGTGACATATTTATACCTGTCCCTCTCAAATACAGAAGATGCCGTCATTTGGATTTCGCAGAACTGTTTCTGACAGAAGCTGTAATTTCTAATGTATCTATAGATGTACTCTGATGCTGACTGGAAACCTTGGATATGGTAGAAGGTATTTGTCAGCATATATGAGTGTACATCAGACTGGAGAAAGAGAGAGAGACAGAAAGTGATGATTGAACTGCAAATCATAGGTTATCTTGGCTTTATTTCCAAGCCTCCTATTAGAGCTGAGAGTCCAATTTCAGGCTCTTTCTTTAGGTTATATGCTGGAGGGGGGGAAGACCATCAGCTGTTTTCCCCAGGCATTGTCAAACATGTTTGTGGTAGATTCCATTCTGTCACAGAAAGCCTTGTAATACTTGATCTTTTGTAATACTTGATCAAAGCTGTGTTGAATAGAAGTGATTTTAACATACATTTTTTTTTTTTATAAGATGTGGAGGATGTTTCCATTCTGGTCCCTTTTCTGGTTCTTGTTAAAGTACTGGAGCTGCACAAGGTGACATGGTCTCTACCAACTTAGAATCATTTTATCAGTCTGTTTCTTATACATAGCTACTGGTGGTTGTTGAGTTGTTGTGGATTGCATCTTTCCCAAAGCAGTTTTTTACCCTTTGGCATCATTATGGCCCAGTATTTGTACAGTGATGTTGGATGCTTCCAGGAAGAAATTACTCTTTTGGAGAGGTGGATGGGGGTGAAGTTTTTTTTTTTTTTAACTCAATCTTTAAGCTGCCAAAAGAGAAGAACTCTTTCCAAAATGAAAGAAAGCGAAGTGCTTTGGTTTTCCAAGCATCTGTAGTTCTAGTATAAGTAGGGAGAAGCTGTATTTATGGTAACCATTTGAGAAATCTCACCTCTGAATAGAAATGGGGATGTACATTTTTAGGACTTTTTGTTTCTAAAGAGAAGATGTGAACATTACAGTTGGGCTGAAATTGGTAATTGTAATTGTACAGTTGGTATAGTAATTTAGCTTCTGCAAAATAGGTCCTTGTTATTGTAAAGGATATTTGACTAATTTGTTTCACTGAGCTTTTGTGATTCCATTCTGCTGTCCATGCCTCCTCGTGTCGTGTTTCATGATGCAAACAGGCAGATCAGTTTTATGAAAACATTGAAAAATTTGATAGCAGAAGCCAATTGCTGTAATGCTGGCTTTTGTGGCCTCTCTGCTTCAGCAACGAATCTTGAGAGCTTGACAAGAAGCAAGCAGCCCCACAAGACTCTTTGATGGGCTCAGCCAGTGGTCTTAGGGCTGCCTCAAAGCTGTTCTGCAGCAGGTCAGAGCAGCCTGAGGAGATGTGGTATATGCTGCCAGTTTGAATCCTGAAGATGGAATACCCCAGGTCTCAAAAGTCTTGGGCAGTGTTAAGATGCTGATTGCTGAGCAGTCCCATTAGAAGTGTCTCTGATAGCTGTGCTGTCAGTGGTAGCTTCACCAACCAGAATTCACTGGACAGAACAAAAGAAACCCAGTGCTCACTGAACAGAGCATGGAGCAGTTTGTGTTGTTTCTGTGTGTTTTGGTGAATGCTGTAATGCAATTGTGCAGGTCCACGTGCTGGCCTGCCCTACTGACATGCCTGGAAAAAGCATGTATCTTCTAGCAGGGGGAGTAGGAGAAAAGCTCCAGCTAGAGTTCTGCATTTTAAGGAAAAGTGTCGTGGTTTAAGCCCAGCTGGCAGCCCAGCTCCACAGAGCCACTCGCTCACTCCCCCCACCCCTGGGATGGTGGAGAGAAGAGAAAGAAGAAGAAGAAGAAAAGTGAGAGATCCTGGGGGGTGAGAATAAGACAGATAAATAGGTAAAGCAAAGGCCCCACACGCAAGCAAAGCAAAACAAGGAATTCATCTGCTGCTTCTCATGATGGGGCAGCTGTTCAGCTGTCTAGAGGAACGCAGGGCTCCATCACACCTCATGGCTAATTGGAAAGTCAAATGCCATAACTCCTGAATGTCCACCCCCCTTCCTCCTCCTTACCCCAGCTTTACATGCTAAGCATGATGTCCTATGGTCTGGGATAGCCCTTCAACCAGTGGTGATGTGAGAAGCAGAAAAGGCCTTGACTCTGTGTCAGCACTGCTCAGCAGTAACTAAAACATCCCAGTATTATCAACACTGTTTCCACCACAAATCCAAAACATAGCGCCATGCTAGGTACTATGAAGACAATTAACTCTATCACAGTCAAAACCATCACACTAAGGAAAACCAAATCTTAGGTACCGTACCACTGTTGTTTTTTTTCATAAATTAGAAGATTTAACCTCATGGACCAACTTCCATCATACATGACAGGAAATGTCCTCTTTCCTAAAATAAATAAATAAATGAAAAGTAAATAAATTTTTTAGGAAAAAATTAAAAAAAAAAAGGGGG